ACATTGCTGGGTGGATAGGTGGGTGAATGGATGAAGGATGGAGGTATGGGTAGGTAGATGGATGGTTTAGTGGATGGGTGGGTGGATGGACTGACAAATGGCATGCTCCCAGACTGTTTGTCCTTGGGTGGAGTCATGCAGGTATCTATTGCAGCTGGGCCTGAGTCAGTCTCTGAAGAGAGAAGTGGAGACAGCGAGCAGACAGATGAGGAAGGAGAACTGGACTCAGAGGCCCAGGCCCAGCCCTTTGGCAACAAAGTAAGTCATCTCCAGTCACCCCCTCTTCAGCCAACTCAATTCCACCCCACAGCTGGAACGTCAGGTTCTGATTTCCTGAAAAGCTCGATGGCCTCTCCACAACTCCACCAGTTCCTACTGCGTGAGCACCAAGAATCTGCTGCCCTTTCCCAGCCCTCAGTAGTCTCTGAGATCATTGGGCACCAGGCAGGAGCAGTGCTTCCACCATTAGAAACCTCAAAAGCAATGTGTGGGATAGGCAAACCCTGCTGAGTGTGTGGCTGTCGGGCAGGCAGAGGTCCCGAAGAGCTCTCAGGGGTCCTGAAAGCAGCTGCCTTTGCAACTTTCAGAAAAGTGGACCCCTCAGGCTCTCCTCTGAGAGCTTTTCTCCTTCTGTTTTTTGTTTGTTTGTTTGTTTTGGTCAACCATGAGCCTTGTGTTTCTGTTTTCAAGTATTATTTAACTTATTTTGGGTGGGCGAGACAAGCAAGGTAACCCCTGGGCTTTGGGGTGGGATGCAGGAAGCGAGAGCAGCTGGAAGAAGGGACTGGGTAGGTGAGCAGGGGTTCAGACTTAGACGCTTGGAGAGAAATGGGCCAGTGACATGCAACATGAACAAGGTTTTTGCGGCTACTGTGAGGGGAATGTCATCCTCTTTCGTTTGAGAACATTTGATTCATGCTATTTATGAAGCTCCCAGAATGCTCTCCAGTGCCTGGAGTATTCCCTACATGATAGAGCAGTTTAAAGAATCAAAAGAATTATAACGAAATAGGGGTTTAGAGCTAAATGCAGGCTCTTGCATCTAAAGAACAAGGAACTCTCAGGAGCTTGCCCACCTCTGCCTCTCTCAGCCATCGCGCCCCCCTTTCCCGAAGCCCCAGGGACCCTCCCCTCTCCCAGCCCTGGAACAGCTTGCATGCGCCCCAGGTGGGGCCCCTGGGGCAAGGGCAGGGGTTCAACTCAAGTGTTCCTTCTGCTCAGCCAAGGTTCTGGAGATGCAGATCCCATGTCCTGGGTGGGATGGGCACCGTGAGCACCAACCAGTCCTCCCACCATCTCCCCCTCTAGGCTCGGTCAGGTTCGTTCCTAGTGGAGGAGGTGGATGTGCTGGAAGAGGAGCCTGCCCCACCACCCTGGGGGCAGAGTATGGGTTTGGGGAGGTGCGGGGTGTTTGGTCCTCTCCCTCAAGCTAGCCCTGACTTGAGTCTTGTCCTGTCTTGTGCCTGCTGAGAAAAAGCGCCTCCTCTCCATCCAAGACTTCGACTTCGAGGGAGACTCAGATGACTCCGCTCAGCCTCAAGATCACTCCCTGCACCTGTCCTCAGTCCTTGAGGCCAGGGACAGCCTGCAGGTCAGTGAGTCCTCGTGTCTTTCCCCTGCCCTTCCCAGGAACCTGGGTGGCAGGTGCTCAGGCCCCAGGTGAGGGACAACACTCTGGAAGCAGTGTCTGATGGCCGCACAGTCCCACTGACTCCCAAGGCATGACAGGGCAGGGGACCCTTGTGGGAAGACAGGATCCAGAGACCTCACACTCCCTCAGGATTAGCATGTCTGGAGATACTGAGCAGGCAGCTTGGAGAAGCAGGGGGTGATGCAGGGCCCTGAGGCTGGACAGATGAGCTGGGGCCCAGGGATCGGTGCTTGGCACAGAAATAAGGCAGAACCCCCGAGACTCGGGAGGGCAGAACAGAGAAGGGCATCTGAGGTGGAGTCTGGCAGGGCCTGCCATGATGCCTGCATCTCCGTCTTACTGGGAGGGGAACATACACTTTATCGCTCAAACTAGGACAGTCCGGTGATATCGGCAGCTATTAATGACCACACCTAGACACAGGGCATATGCAGGGGCCGTCCAGGTGAACAGGACATGTGGCCGCCTTAGGTGTGTGGCCTTTGTCCCTGGAACTTCTTCAAGGTGCTCATTAGTGGTCGTTGCTGGTTGATCATTATTCGTTAGTATTTATGTTGCGATTGAAATTACTCAAGATAATAGATTAGATAATTAGGAGTAGGATTAGAAGGGATGGGATAAAACAAGAGAGAAAGTAGAGTGATTAGGCCTTTCTGAGTAGATACAGTAACGGAGGCTGAAATTTGGGTTTGTGTAAAGGTCTTTGGTATAGTTAAATTAGGTCAAGAAGTGAAGCCAGATTTTGGCTTGTGAATAGGCTTGAGTTGGGGGTTGTACAGTGAATTGTGGCTGAATAAAATCGTAGTATGTTGGAGAAGTTAAATATCCGTAATGGGTGTTTTAGTTTAAGGTTATTAGTTATGAGATTAAGCTCCATTGCTAGCAAGAAGCCTAAGGTGTTTACACCTAAGGCTGTGAGCTTCAGGTGGAGTGGTATGGTTATTTCGGGGAATGAAGCAGGAATGATAGTGTTGGTGATGAGGAATCTGGCAAAGATGCTGCCAATTGTTAGGCGCTTAATTGAGTTAATTAGGAAGGGGTTATTTTCATTAATAGTAACCAGAGTTGTGAAGCAAGGTTGTCCTATTAGAGCGAAGAAAATAGTAAAGGTACTATAGACAGCTGTTAAGGAGGTGGCAGTAAGATAATAGAAAGGGCTCAGGCGTTGGTGTATGACGTGCTTGTGGTTTCAGTGATGAGGTCTTTGGAGTAAAAGCCTGTGAGGAAAGGCATACCTGTTAGTGCAAGGCTGCCAATAACAAGGGAGGAGGAGGTGAGGGGTAGAGTCTTGAATAGCCCCTATTTTTCGGATGTCTTATTCATCCATCATTGAGGTTGTGGATGATGGACCCTGAACCTAAAATAATGTAGCTTTAAAAAAGGCATGGGTGCAGATGTGAAGGAATGCTAGGTGTGGCTGATTAATGCCAGTTGTGACGATTACAAGGCCTGGCTGACTTGAGGTGGAGAATGCCGCAATTTTTTTAATGTCATTTTGTGTTAGAGCACAAATTGCTGTGAATATGGTAGTAACAGCCCCCAGACATAATGTAAAGGTTTGGATTGATAGGTTATTTTCTATTAAAGCTTAGAAGCGGATGAGCAGGGAAACTCCTGCTACAACCACAGTGGGGGAGTAGAGTAGGGCTGAGAGTGGGCTTGGGCCTTCTATGGCGGATGGGAGTCAGGGATGGAGGCCCAACTGGGCTAACTTTGCCACTGCTGCAAGGAGAACGCTAATGCATGGAAGGGGTTGGGGGTGGGGTCTAGAATAAATATGTGTTGAAATTCTCCTGTATTGGAGGACAGGAGGAACCATGCTATAGCTAAAATAAAGCCAACCGGGCACGGTGGCTCAAGCCTGTAATCCCAGCAATTTGGGAGGCCGAGATGGGCGGATCACGAGGTCAGGAGATCGAGACCAGCCTGGCTAACACAGTGAAACGCCATCTCTACTAAAAAAATACAAAAAAAGCTAGCCAGGCAAGGTGGCGGGTGCCTGTAGTCCCAGCTACTCGGGAGGCTGAGGCAGGAGAATGGCGTAGACCTGGGAGGCGGAGCTTGCAGTGAGCTGAGATCGCACCACTGCACTCCAGCCTGGGCGACAGAGCGAGACTCCATCTCAAAAAAATAATAATAATAATAAAGCCAATATCGCCGATGCAGTTGTACTGCACTGCTTGAGGGCTGCGGTATTAGCATCTGCTCGGCCGTACCACCAGCCGATTAGTAATAAGGGCATCATTCCTACACCTTCTCATCTGATAAAGAGCTGAAAGAGGTTGTTGGTGGTAACCAGAATTAATATTGTGATGAGGAAAATAAGTATTTGGAAAATTGATTAATGTTGAGGTCTGAGTTTAAATATCATATTGAGAATTCCACAATAGATCGGGTAATGAAGAGTGCTGCTGGGATAAATATTGCGGAGAAGTGGTCTAGTCTGAAGCTTAGCGAGGGTTTGAGAGTCTGGATTGTCAGTGTGAGATAACAGCTTCTTGGTCTGTGTATATAAATGTCGTTGTGGGGATGACTCTAACGATGAAGGCACGTGCAATAAATGGTTTTACGTAATTTGGGCATGAATCTTTTTTGCAGGGATTGGCTAAGGTAACAGTAATTGGTAAGATTAAGGGGATTAGGGCTGTTATAGCAGGGGAAGAATTCATGTTTGTTATTTTTATTTGGAGTTGCACCAACGTTTTTGGTTCCTAAGACCAACGGATGACCTAATCCTTTAAAAGCTGACAAAGCCACGTTGTTAGACATAGGGGCATGAGTTAGCAGTTCTTGCATACTTTCTCAGTAGGTAAGAAGTTGCAGGCTTCTATTGTTAGATCCACAATCTAATGTTTTGGTTAAACTATAGCTACAGCATGCAAACCCCATAATAATTTTAGGATTTAAGGATAATAGGAAGATAGGCACAAGATGTATAAGTATTCATGTATTTTCTCGTGTAAAGGAAGGTTTAATACTGTTAATAGACAAGTGTCCCTCGTTGTGTCATGATTAGCATATACAGGGAGTAAAGGGCTGTAATTAGTATATTAAGTCCTATAAGCACAATGGTGATATTTGATCAGGAGAATGAGGCCATAGTAACAAAGTGTTCTCCTACTAGCTTACTGGTAGGGGGTAAGGCAAGATTAGTAAGATTTGCTAGACGTCATCAAGAGACTACTACTGGGAGCAGTGCTTGAAGGCCTCGGGTGAGTAATATGGTTTGGCCTAGGATTAAAATGGTAACTAGTATAAGGGCTGTGCTGGTTAGTAGTGTCAGGTGGCTTGTTTGAAGGGCTCACGGCAGCGGTAGTAGTAAAGCGATCCCTAAGTCGAACAGGAGGAACGTGATGGCTACTAGGAAGAATTTTATGGAAAAGGGGAGGCAGGCAGAGGCTATTGGGTCAAATCCTCATTCATAGGGGCTGGATTTGTCTATATAAATATTAAGTTGTGGGAGCCAAAGTGCGATTATTATTAGTAATAGGGCTAGTAAGGTGTCAGTTACTAGGGCTAGTGTCAAGCTGATTATTTCTGCCCCACAGGATCATTTCGAGGATGCTGTATTAGGGTTTTCTTAGAGGGACAGATCTAATAGAATATATACACACACACATAGGGGAGTTTATTAAGTATTAACTTACACGATCACGAGGTCCCACAATAGGCTGTCTGCAAGCTGAGGAGCAAGGAGAGCTGGTCCAAGTCCCAAAACTGAAGAGCCTGGAGTCCGATGTTTGAGGGCAGGAAACATCCAGCACGGGAGAAAGATGTAGGCTGGGAGGCTAGGCCCATCTTGTCGCTTCACGTTTTTCTGCCTGCTTTATATTCACTGGCAGCTGATTCGATGGTGTCCACTCGATTAAGGGTGGGTCTGTCTTCCCCAGCCCACTGACTCAAATGTGAATCTCCTTTGGCAACACCCTCACAGACACACCCAGGGTCAATATTGCATCCCTCAATCCAGTCAAGTTGACACTCATTACTAATCACCATAGATGCTGTACCTGGAAGGCATGAGACTCACAGGTAGGCAGTAAAGGTAACTATGGGCACCGAGCCAGGCCCAGGCCCAGGCCCAGGCCCAAGGCCAGCTTCATAGTGAACTCCTGAACTCCATTCCCAGCATCCCCTGGGCACATGCAGTGCTGAGCCAGAGTTGGGGCAGGGCTGGGTCCACCCCGGCCAGTCTGAAGACCCCTCCAGGAGGAGGGAGAAGCAGGGTGGGTCCTGGAAGCCAGCAGCCAATTGGTTTCTGGGCCACAGGTCCTGCTCTGACTGGAGGCTGGCATAAGTGTGCATTGCCTCTGGCCTCCACCCCCCACTCACAGTCAAACTGGAAGGGTGCTGTGGCATATTACTTCTTGAAGCCCTCAGCACCTCCTCTCTTTGTGGACAATGATATAACACAGAGACCCCTCTGCTGGAGGGATGTCCGGATTACAGCCAAGGAGCTTCCAGGAAGCCCCAACCCACCTTTCTGATCTTCAAAGATTAAGGTGTACATAGTTAGTAACAGTGTACCCTTCTCCCAAAAATATGAACTTCCCTGCCCACATCCTCGGGGCTTTGGTCTCTAGGTGATTCTGAGCCCCCTGAGGCTGTGTCAGGAGAGTTTTGGTCCCCTTGTGTCATGCCTGGCCCAGGGTGTCGTTGGGAACCCCAACATTGCACAGACACATGCAATAGGCAGTCAGTAGGCAACAAATAGGCAATATATGCTTTCGCACAGTCTTCAAAATTAAAGAGAACTGAGTAGCAGGGGCCAGCACGGATGGGCGTCTAATGCTGGGTCAGTCAAGTGCCTGGAAAGCCTCAGGGCCTGGATTGAAAGACCCACATTCCAGGCAGCGGCCCCTCCTAGTAAACCCCGCAGAGGAGGCTGACAGCCCCATGTGCTTAGTCCCTCACAGATGAGTCCTGCTCGGAGAAGGCAGCCCCCCAGAAGGCTGAGGGCCTGGACGGGGCTGACACTGGGGCCTCTGGGTGCCAGCGCCATATAGAAGAGGAGCCGATGAGCGTCTCGCCTTCTGGACACGGCGCCCTCGCTGAGCTCTGCCCGCCTGGAGGCTCCCACAGTATGGCCCTGGGGGCCGCTGCTGCACTCAGTAGGTGCCCTTGGCCAGGGTCTTCCTGATGGGCTCGGCACGGGGGAGCGGGTCACTGAGAAACAACCCCAACACCCTGACCTACGCCTTCACACGGGCTGATTTGAAAGGCCTCTTCCTTTGGCGTGATTGTCCAGGACGTGCAGTCCCAGCAAACGCCGTGGACACCTGCCCTCCCTGGGATGTGTGCTTCCCTGTAACGCTCAGAACTTCCAGCACAGGAGGTGGCCAGCCCACAGCTCCCTGCTGCTGGCCTGGGGTGGGACATGCAGGCCTCCCTGAAATGACTAGAACCACTGGTCAACCAGCCAACTATCCTGGTCTGGGCAGGATGGGCATCTGGGCATCGCCACCACTGGCCCACAGTCGGCTCAAGGTTGTTGATCAGGAGATCTTCAAGCGCTGAGAACCTAAATCTGCTCGGCTTAACTTTGTGTCAGTTTTGCTTTGAAATGAAATCCCCAAATCTCTGTCTTTTCTGGTAGCCCGAGGGTGTGTGTACCGTAGGTCCAGGAGTTCAGATGTCCCATCAGAGCAGGAGCAAGTAAGATGACAGCAGCAGCCAGCTTCCCCCGGCCACAGTGAGTGGCTGCGTGCGGGAAGGCTGTCTACTCTCCAGCTTCCCTCTTCATTGTATTGAAGGGACCATAATCTCATGGCCCTCATGCTGACGGGAACCTTGGAAGCTTTGGGAGGAAGGCAGGGTTCTACTTTCCCCCAAAATAATGAGTAAATGAATCTACTTTGGCCAAGCCATAGGATGCAGACCTGGACAGCAGTTTTGTTTCCCCTGTGATCTCAAGTCCTCTGAGCACGTGGACAGGAGGCAGTCTGGGGAGAGGCCAGGAGAGACTGCATCGTGCTGGGAGAGCTGCCTCGGAGTTAGGCAGTTCTGAGTTTGGAGCCACACACTGCCAGTCTGTTTCACTGGTTCTCACACACATTCTTTTTACACATCAGCCTCTCAAATGGGGACTGTCTTACAGTGAATGCGGGAAGAAAGTCTTAGTGAATGTGGTAAGAAAGGGGTGTGCTTGAGTCTCACTGGCAGCACTGTCTCTCAATAGTACAACATCCAATCTGCAAAGTCTGAGATTCAATGAGATATACTGTGCTGTTAGAGCAAATTGCTTAACCTCTGTGCACCTCAGTTTCCTCATTGTACAAAAGGGGTTAATAATGTCTAACTCATCCCATTGTCACAGGGATTAAATGAGATGTCTGAACCTGTTTGACTACATAGCAAATTATCACAAACCTAAAATGTGATGTGAAACAACACAGTTATGATCTCATCGTGGAATCTGGTGTTATTTGCAATTTGAAATTGAGAATCATGTTACATTTGCTTTTCAAACATGCAAAGTATGTCACTCTTATCCCCACCCACACTGCCAGGCAAGGGCCTCTTTTTTCCTGAAGATCTTTGTGTGTGGCCGTGGAATCTGCCCCATTCTTACTGTGACTTTAGAACCTCAGCCCCGTAACATGAACATCATTAGTCTTCATTTTCTTTGAGCTCTCATTTTTCTTCATTGGACTAAACACGTCCATCAGCTTTCAACTTTTCACTCTAAGTAATTCAAACTCACTCTTGCTCCGAAGGGTCAAATGTCATCAGGAATGAGCAGCTGCCCCTGCAGTACTTGGCCGATGTGGACACCTCTGATGAGGAAAGCATCCGGGCTCACGTGATGGCCTCCCATCATTCCAAGCGGAGAGGCCGGGCATCCTCTGAGAGTCAGGTAACAGTGGCTGGAAAGACTTCTGTCTTGTCATTTCTTCGGGTGGAGTCTTTTTACTTCCACACCAAGTCACTTCAGAGAAATTGCAGCTCTTAATACTTTCAGACTGTGAAATTGCACAAGCCTACTTAATGGAGATACGTCATCACAGTATTTTTTATGGAAGTGAATTCGCATAACAGAAAATTAACCATCTTAGTACGGCCATTCCCCAAAAATTAAAAATACAGTTTCCCTATGATCCAGCAATTCCACTTCTTGGTACACACCCCAAAAAATTGGAAATAGGGACTGAAAAAGATATTTGCATCCCTGTATCCATATTATTATTTGTAATAACCAAAAGATGGAAGCAACCCGAGCGTCCATTGACAGATGGATGGATAAAAAATGCAGCATGTACGCAGCACAGGGTATTATTCACCCCTAAAAAGGGAGGAAATGCTGACACATGCTAGACCATGGATGAACCTTGAGAACACTGTGCTAAGTGAAATAAACCAGTCATTCTGGACAGATACCATATGGTTCCACTTAATCTGAGGTTCTTAGTCAAATTCATAGAGACAGAAACCAGAATAGTAGTCAACAGAGGCTGGGGTCAGGGGGATGCGGAATTAGCATTGAACGGGCAGAGTCTCCGCTTTGCATGATGAAAGGAGTTCTGGAGATGGACAGTGGTGACAGTCATACAACAAGGTGAATGTACTTAATACCTTGAAAATGGATAAAAGGGTAAAATTTTATATCTATTTTATAATTTAAAAATTTGAGAAAAGGAATATCTTATGGAATTTAGGGGAAAATAAATAATCTTATGTCTTTCAAAAAATTTATTATTTATTTATTTATTTATTTTTAAGACGGAGTCTCCCTCTGTGGCCCAGGTTGGAGTGCAATAGTGCGATCTCGGTTCACTGCAACCTCCGCCTCCCGAGTTCAAGTGATTCTCCCTCCTCAGCCTCCTGAGTAGCTAGGAATACAGGCATGCACCATCATACCTGGCTAATTTTTGCATTTTTAGTAGAGATAGGGTTTCACCTTGTTGGCCAGGCTAGTCTCAAACTCCAGACCTCAGGTGATCCCCCTACCTCAGCCTCCCAAAGTGCTGACATTACAGGCGTGAGCCACCGTGCCTGGCCAAAAAATTAACTTTTAAGGTGTACAATTCAGTGACAGTACATTTACAGTGTTGTGTAACCACCACCTCTCTCTAATTCCAAAACAACTTCACCCCCTAAAAAAATCCCATACCCATGAAGCAGTTATTCCCCAGTCTCCCTTGTCCCCGGCCTCTGACAACCACCAGTCTTCCTTCTGTCTCAGTGGATTTGTCTATTCTGGACATTTCATGTAAATGGACTCACAGAAGGACATCTGGTCTTTTGTCACGAGCTCCTTTCACCGAACATAATGCTTCTGAGGTCCAGCCATGCTGTAGCACATATGGGTGCTTCATTCCTTTTCGAGTAGAAAATATATATTTTATACTCGATCAAGTATTATATATTTTACAAGAGGAGGAAATAACCTGTCACCTATGTGAAACCCTTAGCGGGCTGTATTATTATTATTTTTTCAGATAGAGTTTTGCTCTGTTGCCCAGGCTGAAGTGCAGTGGAGCGATCTCGGCTCACTGCAACCTCTACCTCCTGGGTTCAAGCGATTCTCCCACCTCAGCTTCCTGAGTAGCTGGGATCACAGGCACCTGCCACCACACCTGAATAATTTTGTATTTTTAGTAGAGATGGGGTTTCACCAGGCTGACCAGTCTGGTCTCAAACTCTTGACCTCAAGTTATCTGCCCGCCTCAGCCTCCCAAAGCATTGGGATTACAGGTGTGAGCCACCATGCCCAGCCGCTTAGCAGGTTTTATATAGGCATCAAGAAACTCCACTCATAATACTTAACACCTGTTAAATTAGTAGAATCACTCACATTGTAGACATTAGCTTATGAAATAATTCATCACAAGATTTAAGTGCTCTGAGTTCCGCTCGCTGCGTTTAAATGATGATTCTGTTGAGTTAGCTGATTTCAATTTGAGCAAGTTCATGTTGCTGGGGGAAAGGCAATATTGTTTCTTCTGAGAACATTATGGCCACTAGATTCTTTAAGGCAATGAAAGACACAGGCTATTAATGTCTCTGATAGAGCTTTGACTCCAGCAATGTAATCACAGGATGGGGGCTGTTCTGTAACTTATGACTCTTGAGGCACGAAACCCAGAGAAGGGGAAGTGGGGCTGCTCTGAATGGAGATGGGAACCGCAGTTTCACCAAGGCTGGTCTCAGGCACATCTTCTGGTGCCTGGATGAGTGTAGGTCCAGCTCCTTGGGCATGGTGATGCCTGGTACAGAGCCCCTCCTCCCTCCTCCTGGGAGAGCTGGGGAAGAGAATGGCTCTGTAGAACTTCCCTTTGGGCCTGTGGTCTGTCAGGAGGGAGGCTGAGCGAAAGCTGAGCCTTGTCAGGAAAGGCCTGGAAGCAGCAGGGAGGCAGATGGTGCATGGCTGGGGTTCTCAAGGGGCGGGCGAGGTGGGCGGGGCACACAGAAGCTGCTCTGCAGGGTCCCAGGCTTCTCCAGCGCCTGGGCCTTTTGGTGCACAGGACAACCTGAGATGAAGCATCACCCAACTCTTCAGCCACAGGGCTGCAGATTCCTCTCCCAAGGCCTTGGCCTACACTGTGGCAGTCACTAGACCAGCACTGGCCCAGGAGTGGGCAGCAAGGAGAAGTGTGCAGTGGGCCCCGGGCTTTTCTGAGCTCTCATTCAGCAGGAAATCTGTCCCGTGGCTGTTCGCACAGGGCCAAACCTTCACGTGCATGATAGGTGGGGGGCTCCTCCAACCTCCTGTCACTTTGCTTCTGCACCCAGAGAAATGATCTGCCGCAAACGGGCACCAGAATTTCAAAAAGAGCCTTTCCTAGCATGGCAATATGGGGAATCGCAGGGGTTTGGGTTCTAAAATTGGGCTAGTGTCCACGGAGCAGAAGTGCGCAGTTTCTGAATTCAGCATCTTTCCGGAGTCAGTGCCCTCGGCTGACTTTTTACTGTAGTGTCATCTGGAAGCTTCCTCAACCCTGGGTGGAAATTTCTCCTGCACCAACTTCCTTGAGGGCCCACTTAGTCTCTGAAAGAAGCACCCTTGCCCCTGAGCATAGCCGGGCATGAAAGGCCCTGAGAAGGCCTGCATGGAGACTACTTATGGCCGCTTCACCCATTGGCCCCACAGTTCCTGAGGCATAGAACTCCTTTGATGTAACAGCAAGCAAGGCCCTGATGCAAGGAAGTGTCCTTTCACTCAGATCAGGGAGTGACTGGCTTGGGCCCTGCAGTTTCTGTGTCCCAAGAGGACTTGGAAGCTGCAGGTGTGCTGAGCCCTGGCAGGGACTCAGAGCAGACCTGGTGCTGCAACATTCACGCCTCCACCACCTGCATTCGCAGATCTAGTTCTGAAACATGGAATACGCACAAGTTGGGCAGAGCAACTTCATTACTCACAGACAGGCAGCGAGGTCCCCCAGGCTCAGGGAAGCTGCAGGGAGGGTAGAGTCTCGGCTGCAAGTGTCCTGTGTCATGCGGCAGCTGGGGGACCCCAGAAAGCATTCCTCTCTGAGTCTTATACCTTGGGAAACTGGGATCACTGGGCCAAAGGATATCCAGTTCTAGAGCTCTAGACAGTCCAGACAGTTCTTCCTTGTATCAGAAAGTGGCTTTCTTGGCACATTCTACAGTTTTTCTGAAAAAAGGGGAAGAGCCGACTCAGCCAAGTCCATCCAGGGACCTGTGGCTGCAGGGGACAGTGGAGGACCAGGGTGGCCAGGATAGAGACCTCCCAGGGTGGCCAGGATAGAGACCTCTTGGGTGTGGCCAGGATAGAGACCTCCCCGGTGTGGCCAGGATAGAGACCTCTTGGGTGTGGCCAGGATAGAGACCTCCCAGGCTAGCCAGGTAGAGGCCCATGGCAGATCCGTGGCTGGCTGAGCATCTCCTAACTTCCTAGTCTGAAGACAATGGGATGAAGAGGAGAATCAAGTTGTCTATTTTCAGTAAACCTTTAGTTTAGCAACTTTAGTAGCGTTTAGTAAAATACGTATCATGGTATCCAGCCCTGCTGAAATCAATTATCTTTTATACCTGCTTGGAATTATTCTCTATTTCATGTTTGTATATCCTGCCTCTGGAATTGTTTCTCTTTATTTATTCCTATGAACTTGTATTTACTTTGTCAACCCTAAATAATGAGATTCAGAAAATATAAATAAGTATTAGTAAATCGAGTTTATCAGAACAAAAGCTTGACAGTGGCCACCCGGAAACACAGACTCCAAACAAAGAGGGCCCCAAGTGGACTAGTGAAGGTTCTACTTCTGTAGAAATGTTAGCAGGATCACATCCTTGCGGAGGAACAGTGACCTGGGGGGCCCTTATCTCCAATCCTGTTTGGTCTTAATTATTTATAGGGGGAAAAAAAAAAGGTAGAAGTTTCAGCTATGAAACATGTCCTCTCAAGACTTAGAATTTAAAGTTCCAACAGCTTTATTTGAATTATTTAATGTCACAACCTCAACTAATATTTCACTTAGATTGTTTCCCATGCATCTTTATGTGGAGGAAATTAAGCAACAGAAAGAAGCTCCAAACGCAGCAGCGATTCTGTACTTCAGAGAAAAAAACCCAGACAGACTCTTAGAGGGCGTTTGTGAAGTGACTGCCATGGGACCCCAGGAGGAAGCCCTCTCAATCTGCCCATCAACCCCAAGACTCCCAGTCATGCCCTCAGAGCCTGAGCGTTCTCAGGAATCGTATTTTATCACGGCTCCTCTGAGGAGTCAGGCAGCTGTGCGTTGCCTGCCTTTGCATTTGTATTTACAACCACAGCTTTCCAGATGAGGGGTAATCAGAAAAGACTCCCTGTAGATATTGCTCAAGCCCAGACAAGGCCCAAGATGGCATAAACGTGTGGTAGGAAGGAAGCTTCCAGGGGGCTGAGATGGGAGACGGGAGAGGACACCACCCTGGCACGTACCCTCCGCCCCCTCACTCCCGAGGGCTGGCCGCGGGGCCATTCGTGCGTGCTCAGGCTACAGACACGAACAGTTTCCCATAAAAGTGTCACCAGTGACACATTTTGTTGGTTTGTTTTAATCCCTAGCCAGTGTCTGTATTGCATTTGTAAACTTTAAACTTCAGTATTGTTGCGAATTGAAAGCACAAGGGGTTCATACCTAGTATTCCATCCGTATGTATCTAAGTAAAGTGATAATCCTGACAACTGGTGCCCATGCAGGGTCAGACACCCAGGTCTGAGTGATGCTACTCCCCCCAGAGCAGTTGCTACTCTTGGAGAAATTTAATTTTTTAAAAAACCCGAAATCTTTTCATTACCCAGAAAATCTCTCCATAAGGGTAGCAGAGAAAGAAGACAGTTTTATTCCTGAACAAGCATCAAACCAGCGTATGGCACATGCCCCAGGCAATCCGCTGAGAGACTGCAAAGACAGGAAGGGCTCTCAGCCGTTATGCAGCCCGGCAGGTCCAGCCCATTCTACACAGTTCTCAGCACAAACCATTACCAGTCCTCACCAGCGGGAGGACCTGATGGCGCCTTTGATCGCAGTGTACATCCTCGCTCTAGCATCATAACCGGAGACCCCTGTGTTGGCTTTAACCAGAAGAAAAGCAACCTTCTCACACATCTTTAAGACGGGAGCTAGTTTTGCAAACTGAAGCAAGGTGCCCACCCACGTTAGCCTCTTCGCCCTCTCTTGGGGAGTGGGAGCTAGGGTTATCTCCAGGGATGTTCCCATTTCAAAAACACAGTTCCCAGGTGGAGTTTTGAGACTGCAGAGAGGCTTTGTAGCCATTTTAAAGATTTAAATTTATTTGGAATAAGCAGAGAAAGCAGCTCTGAAAGACAAGGGGGCAGTGGGAAGTCTCTTCTCTATTTTCTTTCTTTTTTTTTTTTTTTGTCAGAGTCTTGCTCTTGACGCCCAGGCTGGAGTGCAAAAGCATGATTTCAGCTCACTGCAACCTCCACCTCCCAGGTTCAAGCAATTCTCCTGCCTCAGCCTCCCAAGTAGCTGGGATTACAGGCACCCGCCACCACGCCTGGCTAATTTTTGTGTTTTAGTGGAGATGGGGTTTCGCCATGTTGGCCAGGATGGTCTCAAACTCCTGACCTCGTGATCTGCCCCCGCCCCCCTCAGCCTCCCAAAGTGCTGGGATTACAGGCATGAGCCACCACAGCCGGCCTCTTCTCTATTTTCAGCAGGCAGAGTGAGCGTCTGATTTTTCCAGTGTGTTTGCATTTGCCCCCACACCACTTGGGCACTCAGGAGTCGCCGAGGAGCTGCTGCATCTGCATGTGGGCTTATCTGAAAGTGGCCCAGCGCTCCCGAAGCCGGGGTTGCATCATACTCATTGTGTCCATGCTGGTCACCTCCTCAGTGTGGGAGCCTGGACACAGCCAGGGCCTTGTCAGAAAGCAGCGTGCACTCACCCTGAGCTCACTTCCCACTCTTCCCTGCTGGCCTCTCCCTGGCTCCCTGCCGCCGCCACCCACCTGTAGCTCCTGCCCACTTCCCGCAACCCCAACCTCCTCCATCCTGCTTCCAGTTTCTCCCCGTGTGCATTTTGCCCTCTCTTCCACTCTGGATGTGACATTTCCCAGTGATGGTATCAGGCACTGGCTGGGGAGCTGTTACCCTCTCCTGGGTCCGCATGTGTGCCAAGCCCACTGCTTCCGGGAGACAGAGGCTGTGTGCCCAGGGCTGTCTCTCCAGGGTATTGATCTCTGCTTCTGCAGATGCTCAACAGGACCAGAGGGTGACTCAGTTACTAGTGGCCACTCAAGGCGTGGGCTGAGGCCTAACCGAAATCCTGGTGTTGACATTTCTCAGCCAATCATGTCCTTCGGGGAGATTTGCCCACTCAAAGCCCTTGGTGCTGTGATGATTCAACTAATTACCAACCAAACAATACAAAAGCATCTTAACACTCCACAGCACCACTTCCCTCTTTTAAAGCCAGGTGAGCTGTAAATGAGATAATGGCAGGAAAGATGCATCTGCTGAGCGAGGAAAAAAACTAGAAAATTGATTTCTCATGTCTCAGTCTGGGAGCTAATAGACTTTGGGTGACTCAAGAGTCTGGTGACTCAAGGGATGAGGAAGTCGTACCTCTGGTCCCTTTACGTTGTCACCTGAAGTGCCTTGCCTCCTAGCCTACTAGTGACCCAAGGCTCTTGCTAGTTTGATCACTGTAGCGTGATTAACTGGTATCTTCCTGTGCTGCTCAGTACCGGCAGTGACAGTGGCTGTCCACACTAATGACAACATCACAACCTTCCAGATTCAGCTCCTTGTCCTGCTGGACTCGGCTCCTCTCCTGCCACTTTCACTGTCCTACTCTCTGCTCTTGGTTCTGCTCTAACATTTTGCTTGGTGTTCTAGAACTCGTGGTGTCAGAAATGGGTTTCACAGTTAACCTTCCCAGGCCATGTCATGGGTGGTGGCCTTAGCTCTCCTTCTACTTCTTGGGAATTTGGTGCTTCTGAGGTGGTGGGTGCCAGTGTCTTGCTGGTGGGAGTGCGCTGGGTCCTCTGCCCACTGTTTCTCTCCTTCTGCTACAGATCTTTGAGCTGAATAAGCGTATTTCAGCTGTGGAACGCCTGCTGACCTACCTGGAGAACACAGTTTTGCCTCCCTTGGCCAAGGTAACACCAGGGGCTGGGCAAGGAGAAAGGGCCCCCACAGCTCCTTAAAGGAGGCTGAGGTGTGACATGAGCTTTTGGGAGAAGAGTTTTTTGAGATTTTGCTGTTTGTAAGCTTAAGTTCTGTGTGCAGTTCTCAGAGAGTCAGGAGGTTCCCACCACGTAGCCTGAGTGAAGTTGTCTGTCCCATCCAGGCCTGCCACCACCCCTCATGCCCAGAGCTTGAATGAGAGAGAACTTGGAGGGCACACAGGTGTAACAGCCTTCCCAGGGGACATAACTGGAGATGAGAGGAAACTTTCTTGGCCCTACAGCCTCTGAGATCTAGGCACCAAAGCAGGGTGGAGTCTCCTTCCGCACCATGTTTGTGAATGTATCATCAGCACAGCTTAGTCTGCTATATGCTGCTATAACAAAATACCACAGACTGGGTAATTTATAATTAGCAGAAATGTATTTGGCTCATGGTTCTGGAGACTGGGAAGTCTAGGATCGGGGGTGGCATCTGGTGAGGGCCTTGTTGCTGTGTCACCACATGGCACATGGTGACAAAGGGCAGGAGAGACAGAAAGCAAGACAGAACTGAACTTGCTTTTACAACAACCACCCTGGAATGAATAACAAATTCATTCTTTCAATAATGATATTAATCCATTTATGAAGGCAGAGCCCTCATGACCTAATCACCTCTCGAAGGTCCCACCTCTCAACACTATTGCACTGGGGATTGAGTTCCCAACACATGAACTTTAGGGGACACATTCAAACCACAGCAGCACACCAAGACAACCTGATGGGGAGTACATAAAACAAGCCATGGCCTGCTGCAGGAGTGTGCGTGCATGTGTGTGTGTATGTGTGTGTGTGTGCTTTTGTGTCTGAGGGACAGGCAGACAGACAGCCGGGGGTGCAGAGGGAGTGGGGGACCCAGTCCTCCATTCTAGCTGAGTCACAGCCACACATCTAGCACCTGGGCACTGAGATAAGGAGATTCAGAAAATATGATTATGTATTGAGTTTCTTTGACCACAAAGTTTGAGGATAGCCTTCTGGGCCACACAGACTCCAAAAGAAAGGGGTCAGCGCTCCAAAGAGGAGAATTTAAAGTTTCACTTATAGAGGCAGAAACAAAGAAGTTTCTCAGTGTTGCAGCATTTTCCATACAAGGCCCGTAATTGCATTGTAGCAATTCAATAGGTTACAGCTTACTAATTCAGGGAAGATTGCTTTAACACTCCATGAGTAGGGGTAATGATCTTTAGAGAGGTCTCATCTCTGGCACCACTCTGTCTTTCCTAATCATCTACAGGGAAAAGCAGAAACTGAAGCTCCATGCTACTTGACTCAGGCCACATAGCCACATCGCTCTCAAGGTTCCCAATCATTTGAAGTTCCCGCAGCTTTAAGTTTGAATGATTTACCACAGAACACTCCTGTAGCACCCTAGGTTTGCAGCTGCTCATTTTTGTTGGGGCCAGGGCTCCGGAGAAACAGATTTGGGTGAAGCTCAGGCTGAGGACATGAGACCAAGTGGGAAGCAGAGCACACAGGCCCCAAGTTAGACCCCAAGGGCTATGCCTGCACAGGCTCTGACCCCAGCCAGAGCAGAGGGAGATTCAGGCCCAGCCCACATGCCATGTGTCCAGCAGGGACCATAGCTGCCTTTATCTGTAAGGGGATGGGTTACCGTGCTCTATGCTTTAGAGGTGGCTAGGGCTAGACTGACCATGTGCCATCATTTCATTTAATCCTGCAGTACCCCTGCAAGGTAGACATTTCTTTCCCTCATTTATAGATGAAGAAACTGAGGCCCAGGCTCTCGTGAGTGAGACTCAGCCCATCACTGGCCGGAGAGCACCAGCTGAAAGCACAGGGAGGTTGGGGAGAGCGTTGCTTCCCGCGGGATGCCTCTAGAAGGGCCCTCGCCTGCACTGGAGTCAGAGTGGCCCCAACGCAAGCTCCAGAGCCCCATCGGACCCCATGGCCCATATCAAACCATTCAGCCCCCAGGCCGCCCCCAGCCCCCTGCTATACACTGACCCAGGTTCCACTCGGGCCTCAGCTCTGCCTCTCAGGTAGACACTGGAGATCTGTCACTCACCTCCTTTACCCCTTCCCTGCCCAACTCCTTCCCCACCCTGCTGACCCCTCGGCAGCACTTGGGACCTGCCGTCTGATAGCCTGCCTGGCCCTAACTCCCACCCAGAAACGAGTTACCCTTGCAGACGGAAAGGGCGGCCACCATCGCCGTGGCTCTTGCTGGTAGCTCCCAGCTTTGGCCTTTTGCTCATACAAATCTCAGCCCAGGGACTAGTAAGTCAGAAGTAACAGACTCCACATGGGACCTGCACTGCCCACACACTCCCCGCGAGGGGACGCTGCTTGCAGGAATGGCCCTCTGGGCCATCAAGGAGCTGGACCTGAGAGGCAGCCAAGCCCTCCACCTTGAGGGGGCTGGATCTAGGGTGGCCAGTGTCCTGTTAGGGGCTCTCAGGGCTTGCACCTGGAAATTCCTGGCAAACAAGGACGAGTTAGTCGCCCTGGCTGTGTCCCATCATGCTGGTTCAGGTCCCTGTCACACACGTATGTTGTCATGTGTTTTCCATACATACATGTGTATACATGTGCATGTGTTGTGTGTGTAGGTTTGTGTGTGTGTGTGTGTGTGCGTGTGTGTGAGTTTATTTACTGGCTTACAAAGTGAAGACAATCCCTGCCTCTCCCAGGCATCCACCAGCTTCCACCCCCATACCCCATCCCTCTGCTGCGTCCTGCCTGATGGGTGCTGGGCTTCCGTTTCTCACGGGGATTCTGCAGTTGCTCAGCCCCGTGCACTCTGGGACAAAGTCCAGCTCATATCAGACCCAGTGGCGTTTACAGGCTGAATGTCACTCCCGATCTTTCCACCGAGGGCCTCTGTGATGTGGGGGCTTTGTCAGGAAAGTGGAGCCTCACGGAAAAGCATCCCGGCTGAAACATATGGCTTATTCATTGACTGAATCTAATTATCCCCTTGGTGTTCGTCTGTGAGACCCCAGGCAGCCAGCCCTGTCGATCTGTCTCAATAGGCTTCGTCCAAATAGAAAATTAGATGATCGTGCGTAATATCCTCAGCTTGATGGGTGAGGGAGGGATCGATGCCACCCAGGGGCACCGTGGGCTGTGAGCAACTTCCTGGTGGAGGCGCCTGCCCTCCCTCCCTCCCAGTCCTCCAGTGTCAGTGGAGGTGACGGCTCCCAAAGGAAGGGACGAAGGGCGGCACTAAAATTCCCCAGGTGGCATCTCTGGGCGGCCGTCACCTCACATTTCAAAGTCGACTTCATGGGGCCAGGGGAAAGCCCTCGGAATGTAGGATGGCTGAGTGAACGGACAGGTGCACGGGCAGACAAGTGAATGGGCGCCGTCTTCCTGGCCATGTTGCTAACTTGTGTGACTTCACCATTGGGAAGAGTCGGGAGACACAGGGAGCCACTCCGCTCCCAGTGCCGGCCCCTGAAGGTGGGAAGGTGGCCATGAACAAAGTCAACAAAAACGCGGGCCTCGTGGGGTTTGCATTCCATTCAGGGGAGGCAGGAAACACGCAACTGCAGGAACATCAAGTTTCCCCCAGAAGGGCGGGGCCTGCGTCTGCTGAAGGGAACTCAGCATAGACAGGTCACAGGGAAAAGGCCAACGACGTGTTACCGTGCACATGAACACGGGGGTCCCGTGAACATGGGACTGGAAGCAGGGACAGATGACTGAGGTTTACACCCAAGGCGACAGGACGGATGGGGCTTGGGGCTTCCTGAGGGGTTGCAGTGGTGACAAGGTCATGGGAGGGGGAGGGGAGGAAGGACTTCTGGTTATGGAAGTAAAAATCTCTCAGGTAACCAGGAGCTGCCCTCGAAGAATCGGCAGCAGCCTGTGCTGGCGGCGTCTCCGTCTGACGTGTCAGTGTCAGCCATCAGTGTCATTTTAAGATCGCTGGAGGGGGTCTCAGAGAAAGCCTGTCTGTCTGGTGTTCAGCTCACCCCTATAGCTTTCCTCCACAGACAAAATCCACCTCCCACCCCCCACACACACACACAAAGACAGGTTTTCTGAGCGATCCCATCTGCAACTTCTCTGAATAAACAGCTGGAAATACGTCCCAGAAGTCTATTCTGGGGTGGTGTATTTTGGTTTCCTTCACCAACCAACAAGTGGAACACAGCTCAGGAGGTGGAGGAAGGTAGAGAAAAATAAGTCAAGGCAGAAAGTCTTTGGGGTGAGGGTGGCATTTCAACCAGGACAGTCAGGGCGCCCCACTGAGCGTGAGATTTGCCCAAAGAGCTGGCAGAGGTGCCGCTGTGTGGCTATCTAAGATCAAGTGTTGCAGCCCCTCCTAAGGTCCCAAGGAAGGAGCCTCTGCGGGAGACAGCCTGGCCGAGGCGGGCAAGGCAGGGGCAGGCGGGGGAGCAGAGGCTGGAGCTGGACGTAGTGGCAGAGTCAGACAGAATGGAGCCTCCCAGGCCATGGTCCAGGCTCTGCTTTTTACTGTGGAAGGGATGGGGAGGCTTGAGCAGGGCCAGCTGGCTGAGGGCACAGGGGTTGCTCTGGCCGTCCTCCTGAGAACAGGTTGTGGAGGTGGGAGTGAGACAGCAGGGCCGGCTGGGAGAAGGCGGTGGTCGAACCAGATCACAGCAAAGGTGGTGCGAGGCAGACCGATCCTGGGGGCCTCGTGAAGGCAAAGCCAACAGGAATGGATATTTGGGACAAGAGAAAAAGAGGAGTCAGGATGTCTGCAAGGTTCTTGGCCTAAGCAAGCTTTAAAGAGTGGAGCTGCCTCAGCCAGAATGAGCGACGCTTTAAATCTCATCACCTACCTTAGCACAGTGTTAGCTGTAAGAGGCAATTGGGATAATTTTGTGTTTTTATCACATAACTCTGTTACCTTCTGAGAGCTGGCGCCTAAAACTCTTCAGGAAAGGCCAGCGTCCACAACAGACAAAGCCTGCCCTTCACCTCCCTGCCTCCTGCCCACAGACAAGGCGGCCAGTGGAACTAGACCCTTTAAGGACTTTATATAGATTATTGAACTGAGTTTTTATGAGAACTTGCAGGTTAGATACTGCTATCACTACCATTTTAAAGCTGAGGGAACTGTGATGCAGAGGGGTTGAGTGACCTGCCGAAGGGCACACGGCCTGACGGGAAGCCACAAGGGAACTCGCAGTCCAGTGGCCGGTTTTATGTGATCAGGAGCCGTGTGCCACAGAGGAGTGTCCCACAGCAGCTGCTAAATGAATCCTTGGCCAGAGCGTGGGAAGAGTCCAGCCCCTGGAGATGGACCCGACCAAGGCTGTCTGTGTATTTCCCTGAGAGAGTGTGGGCAGAGATCTGTGAGTCCACACCCATCTCTCCCCATCCCTAGAGTGAGGACATCAGCCTGGAATAAACAAGAGGCACCCTTAAATGGAAGGGATGAGAAGGGAAAAAAACAGTGGGTCTTAGATAGCCAGGAGTGGTGGCCAGCTTTCCCTGGGAGCCCCCAGCCCTGCAGAGCCTGCTTCTGGGGTCTGGGACTGGGCCCCAGTGGGGCACGTTGGACAAGCCGGCATGGAGAAGGGAGGCAGCTGAGCTCAGCAGAAACCCTAGGTGTGCTGGGCCCAGGCCCATCTCCCAGAGCCAGCCCTGGAGCTCCACGGCTCCAGATGACTAGCCGAATCCAAGCCCACTGGCCTGTTCTGTCAGGGTCTAGGTGCTGGAGTGCGCACGGAGGCTGATGTAGAGGAGGAGACCCTGAGGAAGAAGCTGGAGGAGCTGACCAGCAACGTCAGTGACCAGGGGACCTCGTCTGAGGAGGAGGAGGCCAAGGATGAAAAGGCAGAGCCTGACAGGGGCAAATCAGTTGGGGCTGTCCCCCAGGCGGACCCAGAGGTGAGACTACCCCCCAGGGGTCTCAGCAGGACCCTGCAGAGGTAGGGGCAGGGATGGACAGTCCCAGCTGGCCACTGCCCTCCCCAGGGAGGTAGCCACCCACAGGGGCACACCAAGGGCCCTTGATGGGTTCTGCAGCTGTGAAACCAGCTCCCAGGATTCAGAGAGGAGAGCAACGTCATGGCGAGTCCCCATCTGGGTGAGACCCCGCACTCCCTCCTGCTGCCGGTCAGCCTCCATCCTTCTCTTTCATAGGTGAGCATGGCTGCCCATCAAACCAACAGACAGGAAAAGAGCTCCCAGGGCCCTGGGGACCCCGTCCAGCACAGCAGGACCACAGATGAGGAGCTGTCGGAGCTGGAGGACAGAGTGGCAGTGACGGCCTCAGAAGTCCAGCAGGCAGAGAGCGAGGTAGTCCGGAAGGCACAGGGGAGCACTGGGTTCCGCAAACACAGATGGTGACCACACCCGAGCATTGAACATCTGGCAGCTCTAACCATCTGACAGCTCACACCGAGCCCTCCCCATTGGCCCAGCATGCACAGCTCTGAAGGCCAAGCATGAACCTGGGGGTTTCTGTGGGACTCACGTGGCTCAGCACCCATTCACTGAGCCCTCCACCCCTTCCCTTTTTCCTGTTCAACTTGGTGAGGTACAGGCAGGGTTTCCACCAAGAAAAAGGTGATGAACACACAATCCCTGACCCAGGATGGGGGCCTAGAAGCAGGCCTGGAATTTAGGACAGCCCCAGACCTCAGCACTGGACTCTATCCCGAGGGCCATCTGTGAGTCTGAGTTGTGGCTGCAGAGCTTGAATCTGGGTCTGGAACCTATCAATAGTGCACAAAAGTCAAAGGGCAGAGCCAAAGCATTCAGGCCTCCCAGGGACAGCCGAGGAGACTTGGGCACTGCTCTGTCCTCCCTGGAGACCTACAGAGAGGAGAAGTTCTGCCCCTCAGACTGTGGGGACAGCCAGCCCCCACGACCCGCCTCCACTTCCCTTCTCATCAGCAGGTGTCTGTCACTCCCTGAGGACAAAGAGCATGTCCCCTAGAGCTGTTCAAGGGGAGCAAGTCAGGCTCTGGACTTTCCCTTCATGTTTTCCTTCTTGCTTTGCAAATAAATGTAGCCCACATTGTGTAGGTCACGGAAGATCCAGCTGCGAATGTCTTAGACCAAGCCCCTGCCTTCCTGGAGCTTGTGTTTTTCGTGGAAGGAGATAAACAGCAAACAAACAAACAAGATCCTTTGGGTTCATGAAAGGTGTGATTAAGACAGTCAGTGAAGATGAGCCCCTAGAGTGCTCGGGGCGGGGCGATTTAGATCAGGTGGTCAGGAGGGATACTAGGAAAATAAGCCAACCTGGCAAATCCAGGGGACAGGAGTCCGGGTGGAGGCAGCAGCGTGTGCCAAAGCCCTGGGGTGGTGGTGAGCTTGGTGCGTGCAGGGATTAGCCATGAAACCCTGAGACCCGGTCAGAGTGATGAAGGGAGAGTGTGAGAAGGGTGGACGGCAAAGGCCCCTGGGGGCCACTGGAAGGATCTGAATAGGGGGTGATGGGGCCTGGTTCTAATTTCCAGAAGCTGCCCCTGGCTGCTGTGGGAGGAGGGGCCTAGGGAGGGAGGAGTGGAAGGGGGGCTGGGCAAGGATGATGCCAGTGGGGGTGGCCGACTGCTAGGTGAAGAGTAGCCACTACTGTCCTTGACAGTCACAGCCCCTCCTCCAGTCCCTCATGGGAGCCAGACTCCCTGAGACTCCAGAAAACGCCCCCCATCCTGCCTTCCTTCTGCCTGGGTGACTCACAAGGAACACCCCCTTCTCACCAACCATGGAAGACAAACGCCAAGGGGACCACCAAGACGGGCATGCGGCTGGGACGCCAATCTTAAGGGAAAACACAAGTAAAATTGGCTCCAGGAGTGAGCTGGGGGCAGCTGCTCTTCCTGTCCATGACTTTGAGGCCGGACCTCGAGCGTCTGTCTGAGGGGCCATCTGTCTGTCTGCTGTCGTCTCGCAGGTTTCAGACATCGAATCCAGGATTGCAGCCCTGAGGGCCGCGGGGCTCACGGTGAAGCCTTCGGGAAAGCCTCGAAGGAAG